GAAAGGAAGATGGAAAAAAAATAAAAAATTCATAGCACCAAGTATGTAATTAATCAGCAGCTAGGTAATGTAAGGTCACGTAAGCTACCAAGTCGACGATTCCATGATACCAGGCGACATGAGAGCGGAGGGAGAGAGAGAGACAGCTGCTCGCAAGGCGTTTTAAGGCTTTGAGAAACCGAGACACTACTTCCGTACTTACCGGAGACGTCACCCCCGCTGCTGGCTGGCTGGCTGCACTTTGTCGTTGAGTCTTGGGCAAATTGTCTCTTCGGGAGAATCCAATACACTCCGCCCCTACCTCATCCACCCCCGGTCGCACGTTCACCCAATTTCAAGACTGAGAGAGAGAGAGAGAGAGAGAGAGAGAGAAACACGTTGACGTTGTCAAGAAAGAAAGAGAAAAAGATATTTACGGTATAGAAGAGCAGCCAAAGATCCATGGATGTAAAAGATCGTCTTTAACTCGTCGATTGATTGCTGCGCGCAGTACCAAAAGTAGGCACCCGTGTGCGTCCAACTCCATGGTCTTCGAGAACCGGCACCCAGCCTCTAAGCCGCATCATCATTACTGTGTTATTGTACAATTCCCCTGGTGGCGTAGAGCCCTGCCATTAGAGAGCCCGCCCTAAATTTTTGATCTGCGAGGAAAATAATAAATAGGAATAAGGCCGCCCAACCAATCTGACGCCGTAAAATCAAAGTTTCCTCCTCCCAGTCCGTCAGGTCCCTTAACCAGCAGCCGTAGCCGTGAGACCCCTCTTTATGCTGATGATCTTGTTCACGTCGAGCTTCCTATAGTCTGTAGGCATCCAGGCTCCACTGGCAATGCATAAGACCTTCATACGTCTATCATATCGAAGTCCAGTGAGCAACTTCGGCGTGATGAGGAAGTACTGGCTCGTGTGTTCCTTGCACGCGATTTCCACCATGCGCTCGTGGACCATACGCTCATTGCGAGGATCCATGCCTTGATTGATCTCATCGACGACACGAAAAGGTGCTTGAGCCAATGCTTGCAAGGACATTAGGTAGAAGATGGTCGAGACGGATCGTTCACCTCCTGATTGTCGGTGTGCGTCCAGGATTTGCAGAGCCTCGTTTTCTCTGAATTTGACCTTGATCTGGATTGCCCACAAGCCAAAGTCTTCGTCCTTATGAACTCCTACTTCACCTGCGCAACCTATTTGCTCAAAGTTGTGCGAGAATGCATCGCTGATCTCGGAAATCAGTGCGTCGAGTCGCGGTTCCCAGATATCTCGAGTTTTCGTGATCTTGCGGCTGACTCTCTCGAGTTTCTCCACATTGTCGTCGATCTTTTGCCTCAGTTTCTCGATATCCTCCTGTCGTTTCTCAAACTCTTTGATAGCGTTGGGGTTATTAGCGTGAGTGAATTGCAGCTTCGTTTTTTCCGCAGTTATGTCGTCTGTCAGGTTTTCCACGGTCAGGTCCGGTGAGAGATTTTGCCAATTTCCGAGATAGTTGGCATTCTCGGGATCTGCTTGTAAATCAGTGACGAGTGCCATAGCTCGATGGGCTATGGCTTTAGATCTTGTCAACTGCTCTTGCGCTTCGTTCATGAGGCGTTTTTCATCGTTCAATTGACGGACGATGTCAATGCTGCGCTCCTCGAGTCCCTTGACATCAGACTCTGCTTCGATAGCTCTGACTTTTGCTTCCAGCAGAGCCTCATGACAGGACCGAATATTAGAGACTAGATCTTTGTATTCCATCGCAAGCTTGGCTTTCCGCAGTACAGCATGGTCATGCTGAGTGTTGATCTTGGTTACTTCCTTCTCAATGTCCTCGAATCTTTTGATTTTTGCTTCCAGTTCCTCTTCGCTACGAGCTAATACGAGTAAGTATTATATCAGTGTAAAGTCTAAGGATGACTTACCGATTTTACCGGGGAGACTCTTCTGCTCCCCATCAGCACGTTGCAAGTCGCCTTTCTCTTTCCTCAAATCAGCCTGTAAGATATTCGATTAGACTGACGAAAGTCATGGTAAAAAGGTCTCTCTTGACTTACAACATCTTTTCGCAGAGTTGGAATTTTTTGTTTTTCAAGCTTCTGGTGGCTCGCTCGGATAGGCACAACCTTCTGCTTCAGCTCTTCGAGTTCCCGGTCTCCATCATCGATTTTCCTCTGGATTTCTTGTTTTGCCGACGTATCGATTGGTTGGTCAGTCCAGTTCTGCGCTGGGTTGACCTGCTTGCTGGTTGAGGAGACTGCTCCTGGTCCATACTCTTTTCTTCTGTTGATTGTATAGACGTTACTGTTCGTAGCCCAATGGTTCAATTTCGCCTCGTCTTTGATCTGATCGTAGAGCTCCTGGCTCATTTCTCCAAGCGCCACAGCACTCGTATCCAACCCCCTGGTACACAACATACTAAGCACTGGTTCAGGGCCGTCGATCAGGTCGATTGCCCAGGAATCTAGGCCGAAATGCTCCATTTCTTGACGAGAGAGAGGAGACCGACGAGGCGTTGGACCATCGGTGCTTCGTATGGTGATGTCTGCGAGGCCTAACTTTCCGTTCAACTCCTCACTGAGCTTTTTGTAATCTTCCAAGCTTTGGGTTGTGAATGCGAGGAAATCACTCTTGTTGAGCAGTGCCTCGACAGCATTTGCATATCGATTGTCCTTGAGTGAGCAGGTGACCAAGGGGGGTCCATAGACCTCATCCTTGAATTTGTCGCGGTTAGCTTGAACCCACGCCCACGCCCTGGCGGCATCATGAGACTTTGACTCAAGCTTGCTCATCTGCTGTCCCTCTTGGGTGTCAAAAGCAGCGAGTGTACGTTTCATCTCCTCGGCCTTGTTGCGGTTCACTCGGCCCTGCTCCTGTAGCTCTCGATCACGACCCTTCAATTCATCAATCTCCGTCTGGACATCCCGTATTTCGTGTTCCTTCGCTCGCTGAATACAAGTCAGCAATGATAGGGAATGATAAGATCACTTACACATACAATGCGGTCATTCCACTCGCCAGCGTCAAACACAATCTTTTCCTCATGCAGCTTGGCTTTCAAATCTGTAAGAGCCTTTTGGTGTTTTTGAACCTCAGTCTTATTCTGGCGTTTTGCCTCACGCTGTGCCCCCATCAGGGCATCTTTCTCCTTAATCTCATCGTCGATTGACTTGATAGAAGTCACCATGCTGTCTGCTTCTCGCTCGTCGCGATCAGCAGCTTTCTTGCGCTCCTTGACAACCTCGGAAATCTGCTCGAAGTAGTAATTTTTTGCATTGATGCGTTGCATAGTCGGCTCGACTTCTGCTTCAAGACTTCTCAGCCTCCGCTGGGCTTGTTTCTTGATATGGCTGTGGGCCTTGAAGTCATCCCGCGCAGCCCTATACTCCACGAACGGAATGGTTCTTTCCAAATACTTGATTCTGTCTTGTATGTCGAGCCTTGCTTGCAGCTTCTGTACTTCGCCTTGGAGGTTCTCCAGGCGTTTTTCGGAACTGTGCAGGATCTCACGATCGCCAGCCACTTGTATATCCAAACTCTTTTGGTCTTTCCGCAGATTTTTGAGTTTCTCGTGCATCTCCAGCATATCCGGAGTGGCCGCAGCTCTCTGAGTTTCTTCAAGCAAGGCAGTAGGAGACATGCCCGAGAACTCGTGAACCTTCTCTTGAGGTAGAAACTGGCAGAGGTTGTCGATTTGTATGCAGAGATCCCTGACCAACATTTGCACGGCCTTCAGTGACGTCTTCTTGCCATTCAACCACCATTCCCTATTGCTTCCAGACTTGGTGATTCGCACGCGGATGATGTGATTTTCAGAGTCCTGTGGACGTTTGCACAGCTCGATCTCGATGGTTCCTTCCTCCGTACCCTTCTTGACGAACTCTCCAAAGTCCTTCGCACGGCCCATGAGCGCAGTCGAATAGCCCAGTCCTATGCAGATTGCGCAAACCAGCGAACTCTTTCCGGTGCCGTTCGGACCGATGACCATGTTCATGCTGGGACCCGGGAAGAACTCAGCACTCTCGTAGGTCACAAAGTTTCTAAGCTTGACACGAATGATCGCTCCCGGCTTGAACTCTGCAGCGCCACCCTCATCCTCGTCGTCCGAGTCTTCGTCGTTTCTGTAGCCATTTGCGCGGGGAGAATCAAGTTCGGGTGAGACAGAAGCTTGATCGCTCTGATAACCGTTGGTACGGGCGCGTTTGGAGGATTCGGAGCGCGTAGAACTTTGTTCGTGTCTGAGGTTGTCACCGTGGTCGTCACTTTCTATAGATGATCGTGGCCTACGCCGGCCGTTGCTTGTTGACATCTCTGCTCGCAGATTCTCTCTGTGTCGCGTTGTTCATGGTTGTGCTGTTGCTGTTTCAAAGGCAAATGTGGGGGCGGATACGTCCCAACGCGACGTGATTGTCTGATCACGTGATATAAAAACTTTAATTGGTTTGATGCCAAGGCAGTCACAACCTCATAAAGAACCCCTTCCCCGACTACTTCTATTCCAGCAACTTTCAATCCTTCTGAACACGATTTTATTCATCTCGTTGTGCTTCCGAATAAGTTTGCGCCGGTGGTAGAGATAATTTGGGGCTGGTCTTCAAACAGCATTGCTCTCACATCAGTATCGCGATTGAAGTTGTACGTGGCGGAAGGGCGGAAGAAATGGATACCTACCTACCTATAGTCAAGTTCAACTGGAGGTAGCTATAGGCGCTATCCAAAGACGAGGAGAAAGGGATAGGGGAAGTGCAAGGGTAACATTATATCTCAAGTGCTTATTTGAATTACCCTCCTCGAGAATTCTACACATTCCACCCTCCAACCCCGTAAAGAAAATAAAACTCGCTGACCCGAGAATAGAATCCAGTGAAGCACCCCAATCATCAAAATATTTCGCAAGATCAGCTGTATCTGTAATCTCTGAACCTTGAGCTTATGTGCAATGATGCGTATTTCCGCTTGCAATATGTACCCGGTGAGCTTTCTGTGATGAAAGATGCATGCCGAGCTTCGAGACCACACAATATTGATACAGTGCTCGCTCGTCGAGCTGCTTCGGTGGATTTGGAGGTCGACTCCAGAATCCGAGATCTCTCCAATTTTTGGTGCAAATCGCACACCCAATGTCGAACTCTATCTTGGACGTTGAAAATTGATTTCGGCTTCTGGACCTGTATGCCGAAGTTCATATTCATTATGAAAGTGCCAGAGTGCAATCGACTATGAGGTAGGACGTGCCAACTCTTCCCCTCCCCCCCAAAGGTCATGAACTCCACGTAATCCCTTTCTTGCTTTGGTACATCACCAATCTCCTTGATTCTCGATGCTTATTCCTGGGGTTTTCTTTTGTAGAAAATGCGTGATAGTTCCTTGAATCTCTGGGGGACCAGAACCGCGTGTAATTGTATTTCCTCATTGCCTTCAATTTTTGATTCTGACGGCGTCAATTAGCATTGCTGCCACACTGCCTTCTACTTGCTGCTTTGCTGCCCGTGCCTAGATTAGTTTTATATGGGAATTTTGTCTAGAGTCAGAATAAGAATCGAAATCAAAAACCAACCGGGCGGAATATCTTCTAGAAGCTTTGGAAATGTCTATTTTGTTGTGTTGTGGGTACTTTCCTCGGCCCACGTGGTGCCGTGCATTCCACGGGCTCTGCATCGCCAGCGTCAACAAACATCGGTCCCCATCACAACGAGCATTCCACACATCACATCCCGCATCCTACATACGCCCTGTTTGCTTACTTGCGAGCTATCAATTGTGTGACTCTCTCTTCACTCACTCTTCTCACGCTCATTTACCTGTTTTCCGACTTCGATAAGCATTTCTTTCGCTTCACCAGTCGCCCTCCTGCTCGTGCCACAAGTCGCGCGTCAGGCAGCTCTTCATGTACGAGCCCCCGGCTCTCCCGACCTTCCTTTGATTGAAAGCCTAGAATGCATGACTGATTTGGCTACAAGAATTCCCTTTCGTCTTCTCCTCTCCTCTCCTTAATCCCTTCTCTTACCTCGAAAACCGCGTCTCCTGGGCAACCCAATGCCACGATCCTCGACCTAAGCTCCTGCGCCTCGACCGAATCCGACTCGATTGAGGGGTCTCTGAGACCCCGGTGGAAGTGGCATAAGACCACGAAACTCTGGTACCATGAACAATTATTCTCGACCCTCAACGCGTCGCGCTCCTCTGGGAGAGGCGACTCGACGAATCAACAATTCAGACCACTCGCGATCCCAAGGCTCTCCAAAGCCTTCTCCAATGCCTCACCACGAAAGTAGGAAACCGGATGGTCTCCTCCAGAAGAAGACGCACAAGGAGGACAAGAGCAGCGGCCATACGCCAACCAGAGATAACCCGCGCCTCTCGGCCATCAAAGAACCAAATTCGAACCGCAACTCCGCAATCTCGACCACCTCGGCCGAGAGCCGGGCGCTCAAGTCTATGATTGGGCCATGGAAGCTGGGCAAGACTCTGGGGAAGGGATCTACTGCACGTGTGAGGCTGGGACGACATGTGCACACTGGGCAAGAGGCTGCTATCAAGATCATGCAGAAGAGTCATGCTCAGATCTCGCAGGCTGGAAGTCTCGCAGACCTTGAAAAGGCGGAAGCTCGACAGTCCGATTACGATGGTGTGAAGCATATGCCGATTGGCATTGAAAGAGAGGTCGCCATCATGAAACTCGTGCAACACCCACATATCATGAAGCTGTATGATATCTGGGAGAACCGAACCGAGATGTCAGTATTCAAAAGCTTCTTGTTATTGATCTATTGCTAACCTCTTGTAGCTACTTGATCCTCGAACTCGTCGATAAAGGGGAGCTATTTGAGCATATCAAGGAAAATGTCCGATTATCCGAAGAGGAGGCTATGCTTTACTTCCGTCAAATCATCAGTGCGCTTGGGTACTGCCATTCATTCAATATCTGTCATCGGGATCTCAAGCCTGAGAACATACTCTTAAACAGCCAGATGGAGATCAAGCTTGCAGACTTCGGGATGGCCGCACTGCATCAGGCTCCGGGTCACAAGCTTGAGACTTCTTGTGGGAGCCCCCACTACGCAGCGCCAGAGCTTATCATGGGCAAGGCGTATCGCGGAGACTTAGTCGACATCTGGGCTATCGGAGTTGTCTTGTACGCAATGCTTGCTGGATATCTGCCATTCGATAACCCGGGCAGCATTACCCAATTAATGACACAGATCAAGAGTGGCCGGTACGAAATGCCTGAAGATATCAGCGAAGACGCAAAGAGTCTGATTCATCGGATGTTGCAAGTCAACCCCAAAAACAGGATCCAGATGAGCCAGATTTGGAAACACCCGCTACTCAAGAAGTATGACTACTTAGACAATTTTGGGCGAACAGCATATCTACAGTCTCCAAGTCCGAACGATTACGCAATCTCCATGGGGCATAAAGACATCAACAAAGAATTGTTGCGTAATCTGAGGTCCATGTGGCACATGTATACAGAGCAGCAAATAGTAGACGCCCTCCTGAGTGACAAGTAAGTATCATCTTCCCATACCTTTATTCTTCTACTATAAAGATCTGACAATTTCCAGGCCAAACGAACAGAAGATGTTCTACAGTTTGCTTCTTAAGCACCGCCAAACTGAGTCAGAAAACTATAACCCTGCGCTCAACTATTCTACGAGTGACTATCACCATGTCAAGCCGCTCGCTTTAACAAAGGCATATTCTACCTGCCAATTTCCCCCACAGACACAGAATGGACATGTGCGTGAGGGCTCGAAGTTTACTGTCATCAGCAATGCTGCAGAGACAGAACAGAGTTATGACCCTTTTAAAGCCTCCAGACCCCAACATCTGACACATCGAAATGACCCTGCAAAGATCACTATACATCGCGCCGCCGAAGAGTATTCCTGGCAAGAAGAACCTTCGGTATTGAATCGTGGAGATAGTGCACTGCGACCACCTCCTAGAACCTATGCTTCACGAAGCTCATTGAGTTCTACACGAAGCCGGAGCAGCAGTGGGCAGGTCAGAGCTGGCTACAAGCGAGGCGTAAGCTTTAACCAGATTCACAAGCGTGTGAGCGGTGCTCGGAGAAACAGCTCAGCGCCCAATCCGCCTACTGGACTCAATGGTCGACACAGCAATCACACTGAGGTGACTGATGATGAAGGCGATTTTCTAAGTCCTGTTAACAACACAGCTGCTTCAACGAAGTATATCCGTTCAAGGAAGGCCGAGTCAATAGCTGCTCAACCTCTTCGTCCTGCCATCAAGCCGGGTCAGGCGAGTGAGATATTCAGTGAGGATGTGCGACAGCATAGCAGCAGCTTGGCCAAAGATTGTGACGAGGCGTTCAACTGGGGTCCAAGCACATCTGGAAATGCCAATAAGAAAACCAAAAACAAGCATTCATCCTTGGACTCTCGCCCTCTACCACCTCCCCCTGCTCGTACGACTTCTGTGAAGCAAGAGCTTCTCGAAGCACGAAAGCAGGCTGAGTTGCGGAAGCAGCTTGGGTGTGAAGATTCGCCTGGGTATTTGGATCGCATGGTAAACCACATCGACCGGCTTATCCAGCCACTATCTCCAAACCTCTCGACTCCCGACCGTCGTATCTCCTCTGCTCCTTCGGATGGCCGATATACAAGCCGAGGTCTGCCATCTATCCACGAATCCCATGGCGAAGATGTGTCTCCTCGAACGGCAAGAGGGAGGGCACTCTTGGAACTCCAGCGTAAAGTCGAAGCTAGGGAAGGTCGTATCGCATCTGCCCCCGAGCCTTGGAACATGAAGCGCAGTCATAACCCTGATGAGCGTCGTGCCCAAATTGTTGCTTTGGTCAAGGATACCATCAGAGTAGTCCAGCCTTCATCGCCACTGGCAAGTCTGAGTCCCGTGAGGCCTCCGGCACCTCTGACGATCCGAAAGAAGAGCTCTCTGGGCGTACCCCCCCTCTTGGAGGCCGCAGGATCTACACCAGGTAACGCCGGGAATGTGCCAGCACAGGCTTCTTATACCCATCGGATCGACCAGCCATCAAAGTCAGACCTTCAACACCAGTATAAGTCCGCAGCTAGACCTGACAATCGTTATGAGCTACCGCCCATCAGCGAGTCTAAGAATGATGACGACCACAATGATACCAGCACCGGCTCGATTATCATAAAGAAGTCATCTGGCTGGTTTAAGCGCAATTCCAAGACTGACAGCGAGGACTATAGAGTTTCAATTGCCAGCTCTAATGGTTCACGACCAGCAGATAATGATGTCTCTGACCCTTACCAGCGGCCCAGAAATCCACAACTCCAATTGGCTTCTCCGAAGCAACCGAAGAAGAAGCCATTTAATCTTGGTAGAATTTTCAAGAAGAAATTGAAGCCGGATATGTCTATCAGTGGTAAGTACAAGCATTTGCCCGTTGTAAACTCTTTAGCTGACACTTCCGTAGCCCAAGAAGTTTTCGACGACTCAGCCAGTATTCAAGACTCCGTTATGGATACCCGATACCAGAATCTTACTGGGCGAGGCAACGGTGAAGATGCGAGAACCAGACGGGTCGCACCGCAGCAGAGCTGGCTGGCTAAGCTGTTCCACGTCAAGCCCGCCTCGCAGTTCCTGTGCTTCTCTGTCTCCCAGAAACGTGCTCGCCGCGAGATCACGGCTTTGTTGAAAGACTGGAAGCGCTACGGTATTGAGGGTCTGCAAGTCGACAAGGAGCGCAATATCGTGTTTGCTCGGGTTTCTGCCAATAATTGTACGCTCCCCATCTCGTTTCTTTTTTCTGGGTTTTTTGTGGTCAAAACTAATGTGATGTGTATAGTCCTCGAGATGAAAGAAGTCGCCTTCGCATGTGAAATCATGACCGTCATCGAGCATGGCAAGCGCAACCACCTAAGCATCGTCCGTTGCACTCAAGAGCAAGGCGCGGCCAGTACCTTCCATACCTTTGTTGAGACGCTGGAGTCGGTGATGCGCGTTCGCAATCTGCTTGTCGCTGATGACCGTAAGAAAAGAATGATGATCAAGACGCTGAATGCAGCCACCTGACCCCGCCCCCTACTATCGGCTGGCCATAACTTGGATCTCGATATCAGATTTGGAGACATACGCTGTAACTCTTCATTTCTCTTGCTCCGTCGGTGGTTGGATTGCTGCGTAGCTTTCCTAGTTCGTGATGTTGTTTACTTGCATAGCGGGTTTTTCGGTTGTGCATACTGCATTTGGGCGGGTATTGTCTACTGCTAATTCCTCATTATAATTTTGTTGTTGCTGCAGAGTACCATGGGTTTTTTGAGGCGTGTTGGTGATTGATTTCACTGGAGAATGGAGTTGGTGGATAGAAATTTACGAAAGACAAGAAAAGCAAGGGGGGTTTTAGTGTGGAGTGTGGAGCCTGGGTGGGGGTATGGATAGAGATGGGGATGGGGTGTACCGGATGGATGTTGGGGCCCAAGGACTAAATGGGTAAAGGAAGAAGGATTGTTGTGTATAGAGTGCTGAGATAGCGTAGTCAATGCAATGATTTAAGAAATACGGTCCGAGTCCAGGGAGTAAGAAAGCAAGTGTTGGACGTGAAGCGGAAGGGTAGACTAAAGCGTAGCGAATTTCTTAATAAGCCACACAGTCTTCGTCATCCAGGGACAACAAGAATAAGAAAGTTCCCAGTTCTAATTCTTGGATCTTGAAGGGTTTGACCCGGGGGCTACACTAGCATCAGCACCTTCGCACGACACCTTCCCTATTTGGAAGATGGGAATGATATATATATTTCTTTCCATATAAATTCCTGTCCAACCCTGTATTTGTATAGTGTACCCCCCCTCCCCTCTATTTCTCTTTTTTCACTTGAAGTACTTACTTCCTTGTGGTGTTATTTCAGCGAGATCCTAGCTATCAAACCTCACTATCGGCATCGTCATCATCATCATCAGCAGCAGCAGCAGCAGCCGCAAGCTTCAGAACAGGAAGCTTGATGAAAGCAGAGCAGAGCACAGTAGAGCAGAGCAGAATACTCACTCAGCACACCCATCATATTGTAGTAAAGAAAGAGTAGAGAATTTGATTCCACCGGTACAGTACAGTACAGCACAGCACACAGTACTAACTAGCCTTGGTCGACTCCTTCATACGCGCTATTGCCGATCTGGAATGGATTGATTTGGATTGTAAAGGCTGGCTCTTTCTGGACTGCTGTGATTATTATTACTGTTGTTGTTATTCTATTGATTTACGTCTGGCCGCCTGCCTCTTTAAGATCTCCTTTGGGGTACAGAGCGAGACGTGCTGCTGAGGTCAAGGAGAGATATACAAAAAAGGCCTTTGAGAGGGGCATTTGAAAATCGTGCTGCTGTGGACTGTGGCGTCTTTCTTTTATCGATAGGATGGATTGATGGGTGGATTACAAAGAGGGAAATCTCAGAACGGAAAAAACGGAAACCGAAGATGCAAGCGAGGCCGTCAAGGCGCGCCAGCTTATGAGCGTGAGTGGCATGTGTCAAGGTCGCGAAACGGCTATGGATCGAGGCTGGACTAGGGGAAGTCAGAGATGAGAAAAGAGAGAAGTGGGCTCGACTTCTGTGCTTGGGTGGTTGAATAGATGGATGGGTGGAAAGATAGATAGACGGGTAGAGTGCGTATGTAGTATGTCGTATGTAATGTGTACTCGGAGTCGAATATAAGCATTAGCATAAGTACAATAAGCACCAACTCACCTACTTACTCACCCATCCAATTAATAAAGAGCAAATCTCGCTGGAGTCCGGAGCGAAATATTCCCATCCTCTCCTCTCCTCCTCTCCTCCTCTCCTCCTCTTCCGTCCGTCCATCTATTCATTCCATTTTCTCTCATTTCATCTCATCAAAACTTCTCGGCTATCCCCGCGAATCCGATGTTAGTCCACTTAGTTAAACTCGTTAGGCTGGTTAGAATGATCCCACTCACTAGCTAAGTAACAGTAGGTGGGTAGGTGGGTGATATACAAAGTAGATGTATCCAAGTCGGCGCGGCGTGGCTCGGCGGTGACGCTAGCGGGTAGGAGTGGAGTGAGTTGCGCGACTCGCTAGCTACAGTAGAGAGAGAGAGAGAAAGGCACAATCTTGCCAGCCGCTAAAGAGACAAGGAAGAAAGAAAGAAAGAAAGAAAGAAAGAAAGAAAGGAAGAAAGAAAGGAACCCCACCTACATCTGCAGACGTAGTAGGCATCCATCCCATCCGATCCATAAAAAAAAAAAAGCCAAATAAAAATATAAACAAACCGAATAACATCGGACTAACAAAAGGGATTCTCTAGAACCGAACCCTCGCTACTTAGCATACCCAAAAAGGATCTACGGGACTCACTCACCACCACCCAGCTCTCATTACCGCGCTAGCTACCAGCTACTTAGTAAGTCAGCTCGCCCCTCCTCCCTCACTGTAGCATCTTTTAACCTCCCGCTAGAATTTCAACCTCCCGAGATCTAAAAGAGAGTACCGTACCAATTTCAAACCCTTGAACCGACCAGCTAGGTAGCCAAAAGCAAGCTATCGATCGACCCGATCCGATCCGTGATCGATTTCTTTCCCGTCCCGTACCGCATCGAAAAGCCGGCCCGTTGTCGAAAAACGTCGCTCGGTTTTAGCATGCGCGTGAGATAGATCGCTGTGCCCCCTATCCTTCCAGCTAGGTAGGTAGTAAGCGGAGGAAAAATCTTCGGGGGGTTAGGGGGGGGCGCTTTTCAGCTTCTGCGATGTAGGTAGGTAGGTATGTAGGTATGTATGTAGGTATGTATGTAACAACTGTATGAAGCTAAGCTCGACAGACCAATTCCAATTCTAAGCTAAGCTAAGCTAAGCGAAGCGAAGTAGACTAAGCTTTTCCCCCCCCCCTTTTCCACCAAAGACAAACAGCCGAGCAGGATCTCAAGTCACGAGACTCGCTTCGCTTACCTGTCATCCTCAGTAGAAACCTATTTGATATCTGCTTATCCATCTAGGTATCTAGTTGCCTCCATACACTGATCACGGGACTCTTTTCTCTGTTTATATGTCCTCCTTCTTTTTTTTTTTCTTAAAAAAAAAAGAGGATTCTTTGATCGCTTTATGGCTTTTAATGCTACCGGTAGAGGTACTATACTCTGCATACATAACATGTACCTACAGCGTTTAACATAGCCGCTCCACAGCTAACATCTATCACCTAGCGCTTCATTCTATCTACCGGTATACATACACAATGCAAGACACGTTACGGTGGTCGCGACCAGGCCTAGAGCACGTGTAGATCACACGCGACCGCGTGACTTCTACTGTTAGTTCCCGTCTTAGCAGGCCTGCCTGCAAGACCCCCCTTCCAGTATCTAGTTCTCTTTTCTTTTCTCCCCGTCTCTTCTCTCCTCCCCGTCTCTCTGTCTCAGTACAAAGCAGCGTACTCCTAGCTCGGACTACAACACTTACTTACTGCCTTTTGGCAGCCGTAGCAATACACATATATACATCCCTCATCCCTCAACCCTCATCCTTCTAAATCTAAAAAAAAAAAAANAAAAAAAGGAGAGGCTTTCCTCCGTTTTTCGTTTTTCCCTAGTATTTCATACCCGCATACACACACACACACACATACACATACACACCGGCCAGCGAAGAATGGATCTCTGAGCTTTTAGGTAGCGCTAGCTACGAACCTGCGATACTTTTTGAGAATATTCGTGAAAAAAGAAAGAAAAAAAAAATTGTACCGTAAACCAGAGGGTCCCCCCCCCCCCCCCTCATAACCCCT